AGATTTTATAGTTATGTTACAGGTTTATGAGGTCCATACAGCGGTAATGTGTAATGTTTAACTCTGTTTAGGTCGCTGAGGGATCAGAAGACAGCTAAAATGTCTTGACACAGTCTGCATCCAAACAGTTATGAGAGAAACAAGAACAGTCTGCAGTTTAGGTTTAGTGGATTCTGCATATAGAGCAGAGGTGTAGTAATGGACAGCTAAAATGTCTTGACACAGTCTGCAGTTTAGGTTTAGTGGATTCTGCATATAGAGCAGAGGTGTAGTAATCAGCTCTTTCCTGTAATTAGACAGAACACCAGTGAATGAGAGAGGACATAATGTGTCCCGTTCTGTTCTGCTTGGCACTCTTGGGCCTTGCCCTCCAGACATGTCTAATAGGAAGAGAGTGTAATTAAAAGAGAGAAAGAATGAATTTGGAAGTCTCAGAGATGAACGAGCTACGGAGAGCTGATCGAATATTTAGTAGTGATGAAGTGAGCAGTGATTGAAAGCGTTTAGCTTTTGATTCATTCACAATAATTTTCGCATAAAGTTTCATAAGAGATACTAAAACTAAAAGCTAAAAGTGTTTTTAAACTTGAAGATGGTCAATGAATATACATCATTCATTTAAACAACAAAAAATCTAATCAAGAGGGCAATTGTAACATTAAAAGCAACCAGTGTTCAGGGTTAAAAGTAGCTGTGTAACGTATGGAAGCTAGTTTCTGCAACTGCTAAATGTAATTGCGACTTTTAATCTCACAATTAATTTATACAATCCTGAGTTTATATCTAGCAATTCTGAGTTTGTATCTCACAGTTGAGAGACTTTTTTCTCACAATTCGAACTTTTTTTCTCAGAATTGCGACTTCAGAATTGTAAGATATAGCTAAACTCGCAATTCTGAGAAGAAAAGTCTGAATTGTGAGATATAAATTCGCAATTGCAGGAAGGTCTGACCACGTGAAAGTGTCCATATGTTATCTTAATAGTAAACAGTATACTCTATATACTCTTTAAAATAACCTAATGCCTAACTAAATGTCTCTTTTTTTTTGGCTTCCAAACTGTGCTTGTGCCAGCTTTCCTTAAAATAAATGCTATTTGATTTGGTTATTTTAAATTATATACATATTAATGTCCAAATACTTCTAGGGGCCACTGTATAATAACATTGGCTTTCCTCAGTGTGTGTGATCTAAAAATCAAATAAGCTGCAATGCAAAATGTCCCATTACTTTTTACAAAACTGACTTTAGATGAGCAAGGGATTATGAGTTAATGAATGTGGCGAGTAGTATTAATCTTCTCAATAGTCTGCCTGGAGTATTCCTCACTCGATACCTGCCAGACTCATTAACATCTCGTGTCTCGTATAATAAATGTGTTAAAATAGGCTTAAGTAGATTAGATTTTATTATAGATTTTGTGTGGCGGTCCATATATTAAAATCCCTACAGGTCAGCCAGCCCACTCAATACGGTGTTCTGCGACGGTAATAACTGGTGAAATATTCTCAAGCCAAATCAATCCAAAGTGTAGCGACTTCATCGACATCAATGCAACAGCAAGCAGACATAACTGCATCACTTTGATCAGAGCGTTTGTGTGGCCTCATTCTGCCATGGATCCTGACAACCTGGAGGCAGAGGCAAGAAAGGACATGCCATGATTAGGTGTGCATCTGAGGCTAACCACACACACACCTCTCGCCGGTTTCTAACAAACATGACAGCTTGACATTGCACCTGGGTTCGATTCATCTGGATCAGATCCCAGGCAAGTGTGAAGAAGAGAGACAACACGTCGGGAACTGAGAAAGAGAGCTTGCAGCGCTCCTAGTAACCTTGTATGGTGAAACGTCGCAGCTTCTGCACATTTTGAGTAATGCTCGGCTGCTGCACGTACAGTATGGAGATGATTTTCAATAAATACACACTCTGCCCGCACATATTCCCACTCTCATCCTCGGAGGTACTTTACACTGTTTGATGAGATTCAGTTGCCATGGAGACAGCTGATAATGATTGATTGGCCAGCACCTGAAAAGTGCTCACCGAAACTTCTAGATCAACCGGTTATTTTTAAAGGCGCTGTGGGAAATCTCAGCATGAAGGACGTGGATCAAGAGAAAGTTTGCTACATTTACCACGTGATATAAGCTGAAGGTCATTGTAAAAATACTGGCACAATTAAAGACGGTTCTACCATCACATGAAATTTGACACTGAGGGGGGATGGGTCCTTTCCAATAATTAGAAATGGGCAAATTGTTGCCTATTATATTTGATATTGATGCTGCTCTTTTGTTGTTAGGATGATAAAACGTTTTAAAAGTTAAATGTTTAGGCTGCTCTGTATCACAGGTCTAAGTGCTCATTAATGTCAAAGTGACTGAGATGACCAATCAAATCAAAGATGGCGGATTTTAGTTTTCGCAATATGAATCCAGCGCGACGCTTCAGATTCTTACGCTGAAAGAATGTGAGGTAAGATGAAAGTAGCTCATATTTGACAACTGTTTTATGATAGAAATGTAAACGACCTGCAGTAATATCATGTGACGCCAATTACTGGACATTTTGTCAAATTTCGCCGTTTTTAATTGAAAATACTGGCTTATTATTCAGGTAGCCTAATTCATAACTGAATGTGACATGACAAGAAACATTTCCCGCTAATTCTGCAAAATCACACTCGTATTTTAATATAGGCCTGTTATTTGCGAATAGTTCAAATACTATATCAATTAAAAGTTTTATCTATTCCTTAAACTTAAAAAAACAAACAAACAACCGGATATCTGGATACCTGTCCTTCAGATGAAGTCTGTCCACGCGGTCTATGGCCCACACCAGCCGTTAGATCATCATTAGATATCAAATTAATATTTCTCCTTGGAGATACAGCAAGGACAGTCTTAAAAGCATCTCGCATTTAATTCTACTCCTTTTCCATCATTAGAATGGAGTTGGAAATGCCATTCATATCTCAAAGAATGCAATTTTATTTCTACTCAGTTGATACGCATGAGGTCAGCAATGTCAAGGTCACGGGATCGATTCCAAAACACATAGCCAACTGATAAAATGTGCACTTTATGCACTGCGAGTTTCACTTTTGGATAAAAGTCTGGCAAACGAATTAATGTACTTTGGAGGTCGAGTATCTTTTTTGGGCGGCTCTGAGTTTTCACTTCTCTGCCAGTTCGAATGAATCATTGTTCACTCCCTTGTACGCAGGCATGAGCAGATCCTCTCTCAGGAGTCTGGACTAGACACGAGTCTATATCACACTGGACTAGACAGAAAGGTAAAGTCTGAGAAACATTTCACACAAAAGCTTCTCTGTAGACGAAGACAATGAGAAAGTGAGAGGACAAGACAAAGCCATTTGTAACTATTTCGCAGACAGTTTGTGCTGCGTCAGGGTCATGTGAACTGAATACTAAGGGCAACAATGAGAAAAGCCTGTCCTCGTGGACAATTACAGAATATTGTCTTTTAAGGTCATACATTAAGGCACAATAAAATTACATTTTAAAAAGTCTGTATTTGTGGATGCATAAACAAAGATTCGGTATTAAGCATGCACACAGTCAAATGCATGTGTACTACAGGAAATAAAGATACTGTTATTTTAAGCTATGTTTACACAGAAATAAACACCCTTATTAAAGTTTATAAACTATTAAGAGCATTGATGGCTTGAAATAGTGGGTGACCTGCGATTTAAACGCAGTATAACATTGCCCTCCAGTGGACGTTTACACGAATCAGTTATTTTTGCAATGTATCGCTCAACTAAAGTGAGTGCATCGGTCAAACTATCAATTCAAACCAAAATTTAGGAGGGACATCGAAATTCTGTACAAGAAAATGCCCTTATAAAAAGTTTAGTTAGAAGAAATAATAATAATTCTCTTCCCTCTGACAAGATCGGTTAAAGAGGGGGAAGTTCGGGGGGGACTTCATCCATAAACTCGCCACAACTGCATGACACAGGCGGCTGTTTGGTCGACGGAGAAAGGGAGGGGTCTCCTTTATTAGCACCGCCACCCGCACTCTTCTCTCCAGAACCTTTGACGGGAGAAGTGAACAGTGCGGACGAGTGCTGCTTGAAAGTGTCTCACCCCAGGCATACAATACATAGGGGATGAGAATCCCTGCTTGAAATCCCTGCTCCGCCTTTCCCCGTCGCGGCCCGCTTGCGGAACTAATAGTCGTGTCAATTCTTTATCAAGCCGCTAAACTCACCACAACGTGTCGCTTAGAAAGAAAGAAAAAGACATAAATAATAATATGTTTTTAATAATGGTTACAATTAAGTTATAATACGAGACGTAATTAAATAAAACACTCTTAGAAGCTTTTTTCGTCAGAATTGGTTTAATATAAAGCTTTTGCTTTTATACAAACATCGAAGACATAAGGCTTTCTTTTTACATAAATTACATTTCAAATACACAGCAATACTTAGATTATATTGTCAGATTTTACTCTATAATGTTATTGCTAATTTTAAAAAAAAAAGCTCTGCTACTGAAAGTTAAGGTGAAAGTCCATTAGGATGAGTTTTAATCTGCTTTTCTCTCCTGAAACAATATCTGTGACTATTAAATCTGCAATAACAGGTGGATAATAAATGTTAAGTTCTGTACTAATAACTTTCCATAAAGCCTGTACTTGAGAAGGTCTCAATATATTCCTATTTGTACACTAAAGACAGAAGAGATCATACACAACCCTGATGTCAGTAAGGTCTTTTCACATGGCTTAACCCGCATATCCTGACTATGGCAGACAGGTAATTACTGATTTGATCGTTTTTGGTAGGATTTGAAATGACAATGACCAAAAAATAATCCAGCATCACCTTCTGAGGTGGCCAACTGTGCTGTAAACAAATGTCTCTGTACTTTCCTACCTGGATTTAAAAACAGAAAAATTACAAACGCATTTTATAGTCTCAAAGCCGATTAGTTAATGCTGCAGACTATGAAACACAGAGGTCCCAGGTCAGATCCCAAGCAGTCCAGGAATTGCTGAGTTAGCGTGAACACAATCCTGCTCTGTCATTCTGTCCTTGAAAATCCAATAAGCAACCATTATCCTATGAACTTCAAATCATCTTCAGACAAACCGATGCAGATATTGTGCGTACACAGAGGTCACATCTTGCTTGCGGTAATTATATTGCAAAATGTTTCAGATCCACATCAACGTAAACATAACTGGCTTCACACTTTCACTTCACATTTAATGACATAGAGCGCCAGGGCAAGAGAATGTAAGAGAGAGAGATCGTGTGCAAGAGCTTTCCGTGCCTTCGTGTCATTGTTGGTCTATCAGCCCAGCTGCACGTCCGTTGTCGATTGGACACAGCACGTATCTGGGGTCAAGTTTAGGCGTGAAGTCACCGAAGTGTTTGGAAGCCTCTGTCCCAAAAACATCGAGCACTTTTCTGTTCATTAGGGCAAACCTGAACAGAGAAATCCATAACTTGACGTGTTCAAGAATTCATGTGCATATAAGACTTGTTAATCATAATTTCCACTAATACACACCTGCCCTTCGTCAACCGCAGTAGAAACTTCCAGTACGATGGTCTCAGGTTTTGCACTTCCATAACCGCCTGATAAGATCCACCCAGGACATGTTAACCAAAAACATTTAACTATGGGCATGTTTCTATCATGTTCACACAGCAAAACTATTCCTTATAATTTAAAACCTGACAAACTTATTTTGTTTGGCTTTTAAAGTGCACTTAAAATTGCTGTCTTTCGTTCATTTAAAAATTCTCATTCAGTTCATGACTGAGCCATCAATAAGTCACACTGGCACAAACAGCTTCTGCATTTTAATGTGCTTTGTATTTTCCCTTGGTGTAAAAGTGTCCTTGGTTATGCAGAAGGTGCTTTTAGTTAGGTAGATTTTAAAAACATTTTAAACGTACCGCTTGAAAACAGATGGCAGTGGAGATGGCATAGATTACTGTGTCGGCCTCAGAGAAGTACGGAAACTTGCCTGCCTCGATCCCTTTGAAATACAATGTCTAAAAAGACAGTGAATAGATTATTAGTAGACTATACATACACACTTTTATATTACAACCCGTATAAAAAAAAAATTCGAAATCAGAATATTTGTTAAAATGTTTATGAATCTTATTGAATATATAAGGTTTTTATGGTAATTTACTGACCACAAAAATTAATTACATATATATTCAAATTAAACCGGTTTATACATTTTAATACAAAAACAAATTTGTATGCGTTTTTCCAAGTTAGTAAATAATAAGCTCTCTCTCACAATTAATTTTTTTACATATTGTTTTGCCTTGAACTGAGTTTACACACATACATACATATATATATATATATATATATACACACACATACACACACATTTCATTCTGGTGCATTTTTTTTTTTCAATTTTGCGAAGTATTGATAAGAATTGATTAAAGAATTTTCATTTTTGAGGAACCCTTTAATTTTGGTCTATTCACAATTCTCTGAAACACCAGAGAAATCATTGAGAAGCAAATCATACTAATTTGAAATCTCTAAAAAGCCAGAGAATTGCTACCTCCACTAGTTTGGAGAAGAGGTACATGGAGATGGTGGTGCTCTTGTAAAAGAACATTGAGGTGCCAGCAAGAAAACCTGAAAAGATAAATGGAAAAAAAGGTGAGATGAGAACCTCTAATGGCTGTGCAAAGGGAAAAGGGTTCAAAACACTCTTTACCTGCTATGAGAGCATGGAGCTCATCGTCCAGGTTACGCATCCATCTCAGTAAACAGCTGGTGCCCTTTCATAAAATAGAAGCGAGTTGGAGAGAGAGAAAATTCACAACTGAAAAAAAGTTACTGAGAAAGGTGAAGAAAACAAAACCCCCTAAAAGCTGCAGAGAAACTTGCTGTCTCATAGAAAAAACAGCACTGGATTTTAGTGGAGATAAAGTACCTTGTATATACTGACAAACGATCCCAAGAAAGCTCCTAGCTGGAAGTTCTCTTTGTTGTAGAGCAGCCAGAGCAGTCGAGAGGGTTTTGTAAAGGCCTGTCTGAATGCTGATGGAACCTTCAAACAGCACTGAATGAGGTAACCCACGCTGAACATTCGGATGAAACCCTTCAAAAACACAAAGCATCTCAGAAGCTGCTCTCCAGAAAACATCTCGCAGCTTCATGTCAGCTGTCAGTTAGTGAGCAAAGGGCACTGCTATAGCGACAGAGCCTTTAACCCAGATAAACGCAACACGTTTATGCATTCACATTCTTTCTCTCCCATTCAAACGCAAATGCTCAGAACAAACATGAGTGATTTGAGAGACAGCAGGTTAGGAGGTCTCAGACGCTTACTTTAACACAGTAGGAGATGCAGTTGTCTTGATAGTGTTTGCAACATCTATGCCTGGGTCCATGTTTGCATCTAAAGGGGACAACACACACACAATGAATGCAAACACAAAATATGTAATGAGGCAGGGGAACATTCATGCATGAAAATGAAGCTGAATGTTGAACAAGCAGGACCGAAAATTAACTCCAAGTTTCAAATGCAAGTAAAAAAAAAACTATTTTTACCCACTATTGTTGTATATGCATTTGAGGTCACAATTTGTTTTTAAAGCAATTAATGATTTTATATTAAAAAAAAAAAAAATCTGTTTTTTTTAACACTATTCAAAGAATCCTAAAAAATGTTTCACTGTTTCCACAAAAAATATTAAGCAGCACAACTGTTTTTAACACTGATAATAAGAAATGTTTTGTGAGCACCAAATCAGCATATTAGAATGATTTCTGAAGGATCATGTGACACTGAAGACTGGAGTGATGATGCTGAAAATTCAGCTTTGCCATCATATAAATAAATTACATTCCTAATATAATTAAATAGAAAAAAGTGTGTCTAAAACTTTAATAATACTTCACAATATAACGGTTTTCACTTTTAAAAACATGTTTAAAAATCCTATTAACCTAAACTTTAACTTCTGAATACGTGTTGTGTAGTTTGGTATGTAATTTTCTCCCAGGCAAATATATATGGAAATTTGGTTTTAAATGTTTTTACTGTAGTCAATAAAATAACATTGATCTCAAACATTATTTAATATTATTAATAAAATTGATAGTTACCATTAATTATTTTCTTAAACATTTTTCATACTTAGAAAGCCTTAAAATTGATTTTGTAAGCTAATTTTTTCCCTTGTATTTTCAAGAATTAAAGAGACTTTAAGAGACTTTAATTATGTCCAGAAAAAAATATATTAGACAGTTTACCTTAACTGTAAGTTTTCATGGATAATTCTATAAGAATTTTCTGGTTGTATTTGATAGAATTACATTTTCTGTCAGAAACACCATAGTCTTATATACATGTTTGAAATGTATGCTTCCTATGTGTATTACTCTCACTCACATAGAGTCTAGGAGTTTGCGTGTAAATGCTCTGATGCAGCTCCCCCTGAAGGCAGGCGTGTGCTCCGGTCTCTCATCCGGTGGCTGCGCGTCTCTCTCCGAACCCTGTCCGTACGCATGCTCAGCCAGACAAGAGTGTGTCGGGATCTCCTCCTTGCCAACTATAAATCTGCCGCAGCCAGACACATAATCTCCTTTAACAGTCTGACATGAGTTGGTTATGCTAGGGCCTTAAGATCAGTGGCAAATCCTTGGGAATTTAAGAACTACGTGTAGTCATGTAAATCGATAAATAAACTTACTTTAAGGCAGAGAATGCAAAGCCATTCAGTCCGTCTTTACATCTGAAGATAAAACCAGAAGTTAGGAATTTAAAAGGGTCAATGTTTGTAATTGAACAACTACGTTTTTATTTGTGCCTGTCCATCACAATCTTGCTCCTGGAGGACCTCAGCAAGTCTTGGAGGAGCCTCTACTAATAAGATGACGTGTTAAAGAAATAAGATAACTAGGGCTGGCATCCTCTAGGACCAGGATTGAGAGGCAGTAACCTGACCAACTGACCTGAAGAAAAACATGTAGAGAGATGCGGTCAAGCAGAAGAGAAGAACCTGGAAAAGAGTGGAAATTATGAGACAGAGTCATCACATGAAACTTTATGATCAGTTCAAGGTTAGTTCACAGTAATAAAGCTTTTGCAAGTATGTAAAATGGTGTTGCATCATTAGCACTAAATGATCTCAGTGCATGATATGATAAGGTCTATTTAAACTAATGTTTGCTTGGGGTCAGGATGATTTTTTGTTGTTGTTGTTTGTTTGTTTTTGTCCCTTATGCTCAAAAAGTCTGCATTTATTTTATTTTTTTAAATACAGTAAAAACTGTAATATTGTGAAATATTATTACAATTTAAAATACATTAAAATAAAAAAACAGTTGTGATGGCAAAGCTGAATTTTCAGCATCATTACTCCAGTCTTCATTGTCACATGATCATTCAGAAATCATTCTAATATGCTGATTTGGTCTCAAGAAGCATTTCTTATTATTATCAATGTTGAAAACAGTTGTGCTGCTTAATATTTTAAAACCATGATACATTTTTTGATGAATAGAAAGTTCCTAAGAACAGCATTCATTTGAAAAATAAATTAATAAAAGCATTAATTTCTTTCAAAAAAATCTTACTAACCCCAAACCTCTGAACGGTAGAATGAACTGTAACGTACCTCTCCATGTTTCATAGGCTTAACAAGACCCCTTGTGACAGCCATCCGGAAAATCGTCTCCGTTGCCTGGAAATGACACGGAGCACTTAAGATCAAAATCAGCCGAGGTTTCCTTGAAACAGACAGTTTGGATCACAGCTTTCAAGAAAAAGTAACATAAGTGACAGATAACTAATGTGATGTTGACTACTGCCAGGAAATGGTCATGCAACTATGAAAGAACTGTCAAGACATAACGCAGCGGAACTGAAAAGAAGCAATGCGGAATCGGCTTACCAGGTTCGCCATGTAAATTGTTAGGAGTCCTCTCCTGAATAAGAAAACAGACAAATTATACAATAACTAATTGAGGTTTTGCGGCATCACTTTTACTACACTAATATAGATATTGTTCTAGTTGTCATTCTTGATGTGAATGGGCCTTTACTCTTTTCCATCAGAGTACATTTCCATATACAAGTTCAGTGTAAATTTGCTTTATACTTTGGATAATTTGTATAAAACAAAGACCAAAGGAAATCTGTGAGGAAATGTCAGGGTTAACCTGCTTTTCCGCTCTATTAGTATGGCAATGTATGAGGCCGGCAGTGCTGCCCCAAAGCCGGCTGACCAGGAGTAGAAACGTCCCAACAGCTTCCTGAATAACAGAGGAAAAAGAGAGGCAACAATGGAAAGGATAGCTGATCATTAATAATCATAAGCTAATGAACATGCTTTCAACTGAGGACAATATCACGGTTGACTATTTGTCTCATTTAGAAGGGATTAAAATAGTTCATTCACAAATTAGGTGAGTGGTCCGGTCATGCAGAATGCCAGTCATAAATCCCAGTACATAATTTATTTGATGTGTCAAAGGTCTTTACAGTCCTATTTGTACGGATATGTGCGAAGACTTTAAACGGCTGATAAGGACGGGGATTCAAAGGTTGCTCGTGTTCGAACAGTCACACACGTGGGACAGCAAACATTTCCAAGAATTGTTTGTTAGCAGAATTTTGTAAAGATTACCGGAGAATGCAGAAAAATGCAATGTAGAGGCCTCCATTTGCGGTCAGGAAAGATGTCGATTGCAGGATCTCAGGAAGCAACCTTTTCTTGTAATAATCCTTTTTCCTTCTTCTTAAAATTGCTGCAATCTAGAACACAGTAAAAAAAAAAATCTGTTATTCAAGGAAATCCATTTCTGACTTAGCTCTCAGTACATTGTTTTTTTCTTTAAGTGCTCTATTTTAAGCAAAGACATTGGCTGTAACTCATGTAACACATTGGTTTCTGTAGGCAACATGTTGACGCTCTGCAGTTTGTCACCCAAATACCACTGACCTACTGTCTATTGATAGATTGAGCCATAGTTTTTGCGAAACTGAATCGAATGTCAACTCTGCAACCCTACAGTTCAGATGTTGCACCAGTCTAACTGCAGTTTTGCAATGGAAGCTAATCCCTCTGTCCGAGCTATACAGCCAGTTATACCAAGTCATCACAGTCAAGTAAATACAAGATAACATTCTCTGGTGAATATATTTACTAATGTGGCATTTAGCCAACAACCTGAGGTTAAGCGGAATTAACCTTCAGGGCTCATTATTGTGTCCTTAAAAGCAGTGCACTTAAATTTGGTTCTTTTGAATAGAACTGGTTTAAAACTTCTGCTATAAAAAATAACTTTCCACCAGCCAGTCAAATGTTCAGTTTACCTCAAAATGTCTACTCTTAGATCACTGGTCGGTTCTAGCTTTGATAATTATGAATAGGTTATGTCTAAAAGAAACAATATAAACAGTTTCAATATAAAACATATCAATATAATATATTAACATAAAAACAATATACAAATAGTCCAGACTGACACGAATAGTTCATTCAGGAAGCAAACAAATATAACTAATGAGTTTAATGAGGGGCAATTCGCTCAGGCGATTCGTGAACGAATCTTTCAAACGGGTTCATTGAAAAGATCCGATTTGTTCACGAATCTGACATAATTATTGGTCAGTTTTAAAGGGGTGGTTCATTGCGATTTCACTTTTTTAACGTTAGTGTCTAATGTTGCTGTTTGAGCATAAACAATATCTGCAAAGTTATGAAGCTGAAAGTTCAAGTCAAATGGAGATATTGTCTTTTAAAATTCTGGCAGTTTAATGCCTACAAAAATGGCTGGTAGGGACTACAACAAGTTACTTCCTGGGTTCGTGACATCACAAACCCAGATAAACCCCGCCCTCTGGAAAAGGCAGCAAAGGGGGCGAGGCCATGTTGCGCTGCTTTAGAGAAGAGGAAGAGAAAACTAGAGGTGCAGTAAAAATCTATTCATACATGAATCGCGATTCTGACTTCTAACGATTCTAATGGACTCACAAGTTTCAAAATCAATGTTCTAAAGCAGCGGTTCTTAATACTGTTCCTCGCGTCCCCCTGCTCTGCACACGCTCTACATCTCTCTCTCTCTCACTCTCTCTCAGCTCAAACAATGAACTGTTCCAATTATACACTTTTTTTCACATAGCTATGAGAAGCGTTAAACACGGACGCGTGTGCAATTGCCGTACTGTATTAAAGCTTTAATCAGGATAAAACCGTATATTAAAAGCTAACATTAGCAGTAGCATTTACAAATAACAGCGTATCTAAAAGTATGAGACAACAACAAACAAAAAACATAGGCCTACCATTAAAAGCCTAGCATTATGTTAAAAATAATGCGTTGTTTAAAAAACGAAGCATTAACACATGTTAGACTGCACCCCATAAACACAATCAAGCCTAGGAAAAAAACAGTGAACCACCCCTTTAATGTGAGCCAATGGAAGTCCTAGTCAAATAAAACATCTTAAAGCAGCTTCATGTAACTTTTGGCGCTCTAGCGGTTACTAAACAGAACTGCACACATCCCGCGGAAGAACATTTCAACCGGAGCTACTTCTCTAAGTTTATGTCTATGGCGATTCACGCAGGTATGTGTTACTCCGCAGCGGTGACGACCCGACCAGGCTGCAATAGTCCGAATATAAGTACTTATTATAAGTGTACCGTAGTGGTTCGGAATAAGACAAAAACGCTGTTTGGAAGATGAATTCATGATGTACTTGCTCATTATATACATTTTGCTAATTTGGAACACAGAAAAAGATGCATAGTGCTGCTTTAACCTAAATCTGCGACCAAACAAGCTTTGGTGAAGACTAATGGTAAACAGTTTCGGCTTAAAGGGGTCATATGATGCTATTTTAAAGATCATTATTTTGTGTATTTGGTGTAACAGAATATGTTGACATGCTTTAATGTTCGAAAAACACATTATTTTTCAAATACTGTACATTATTGTAGGTCCTCTACGCCCCACCTCTCTCAAAACACGTAGTTTTCAACCAAGCCCCCTATTTTGACGAGCGCAGTCTGCTCTGATTGGCCAGCTGACCCAGTGCATTGTGATTGGCCGAACACCACAAGCACGCGTCGGAAATGTAACGCCCCTTACCATAATCGCGAGCTTCAAGCTTTCAAAGTAAATATCAAGACAGTTAATAATGTCGTTAATTTTACCATCAGTTCAAACCCGAAAGGGCAAGAGAGTCGCGTGACAGACACAGTGATGATGCAGTCACGTAGTTTTCAACCAAGCCCCCTATTTTGACGAGTGCAGTCTGCTCTGATTGGCCAGCTGACCCAGTGCATTGTGATTGGCCGAACACCACAAGCACGCGTCGGAAATGTAACGCCCCTTACCATAATCGCGAGCTTCAAGCTTTCAAAGTAAATATCAAGACAGTTAATAATGTCGTTAATTTTACCATCAGTTCAAACCCGAAAGGGCAAGAGAGTCGCGTGACAGACACAGTGATGATGCAGTACACAAGCCGCGGTTAAGACAGCTGATGTGCTATGATTTCTGACAGACAGTTCACTCTCCTGTGATGTGACCCTGTTCCCCTCACACACACACACACACACACACACACACAATGCGTTACTCTGCGCTGCGCAAAACTCCGCATTTGAACAGTCAATAGCAAGTACTTAAACTAGTAACAAAACATACTTACAGTCGCTGATTCAGAAGCGCCAGATTGTCATGGCAAAGTCGGAATTTACCCTTTTTTTTTTAAACAGCCTTTGTGCACAGCCAGCATTGTACTCTTCTAGGTTCAAAAAAACTGTCGTCCATAAAATGCGTTGCACAAATTCGAACATCTGTGTTGTGCTGTTCTGTTGTAAATCAATCTTAACCAATGATTCCTAATTGCTTCTACTTCCGGAAAGGCCAAATAAAGTGCTTTTGCTTTCGCACTGAAATACACAGCGTCTCCCTGACATCGCTGCATCAACACTACTGCTGTTCCTGAAGCCACGCCTTCTTTCTTTGCGTGACCATTTGGGCGGCATTATGCTAATATTTCCACATAGTGATGTAGATATGTGGGGGCGTGTTAGAATGAGGCGTTTTAGGTAGGCGTGGCTGACTCTTAACTTTTATAAAGAATATCTCTTTGGATTTGAGAGATTTTTACACTCCAAAGAGAAAGGAAAACTTGAAATCGCATCATATGATTCTTTAATGAGAATGACTGTGCAAATCTAATATACAAACTAAGCAGTTTATCATCAAATTAAGTGCGACACGCATAATTTTAATTCACAACATTATTCAAAAGAACGACACAAAAAGCAAACGTGCCTTAGTAACGTTATTGCACACAGTTCGCAGAGGATCATCTGACAGTTTGATCTCTATGATCCAGCAGCTCTCTGCCGCTTATCTGACCGTGTCATCAGTCTAACGACATTTATCTACTTTGAATATTATTAAATGTAAAACATGACGGGCTGAGACCGAGGTCTGTGTGTTTATTTCTAAATAACTTAGAAATAAGCGACTGTTACAGGCCCTCTCACCGTCCCGCAGGACTCTGGTGTAGCTGCCCGGCTAACTGCGCCCTTGCCCCGGCGAATGAACGGACAGACCCGCGCTCATACACTCACCAAATACAGAGGAGCATATATCTTGAAGGAGACCTCCAGAGCGCCGGCTGTCACCTGCAGGGTGGAGGTCGTACATGAGGAACTCCATGTGTGTCCTATCTCATAGCAGCTATGCGGTAAGGACTTGCTGAGAGCAGCCATGGTTAGCAGCGCGCCGCGGGAGCGCGCCTCCAGTTTCCTGCAAGAGCGCTCCCGGCGAGGGACGATTTACAACCAGAACCCATAGTAAAGACATTCATTTATATAATCCATTTAGTTATATTTGAATCATTCAGATACTGAAAGAAAAATCCTCAACGACGCAGTCTCAAAATAAAGCTAAATATTTATTTAGTTCGTTAGTAGCTGGAGGGTGTTTGCGAATGACGCTGGCTTTAAAATATAATTCAAAATCATAAAATAAAATGTACTGTAAATGACCTTCTATGTATTGCTATAAGTGTACTCAATCTTTTGAAATTCATCTTGCATAATTTAATAAGACAAACACATATTGGCACCCCTATAACATTTAGCAAATATAAACCAAAGTCATAAAATAAAAACGTAAATTAACTTGATGCATAGCTACAATTCGACTGTTAATAAACAGACAAAATATTAATAGTTAGCAAATATATCTGTCAATCTGACAAAATGTAATACTATGTAATACATTAAATATATACTTATATTATGTAATCCGACCTACACAAACCAGCCATCATTTTTATTCAAATGTTATTGGAGCTAAAATGAAGTGCACCAAAAACAACAGCAGAGGGCGATGGTAAAAAGTACACATCCTCTTTCATTTGTAATATCGCTTAAATCGCTGCACAAAATCGTTGGGGGGGG